AGAAACACCAATGATGAGGGAGTCATTGATTGAGCCCGCAACCTGGGCATGTGCCTTGACTGGGAATCGAACACCGATTGCCTGGATCCTAGATCGATGCTCAACCGCTGAGCCACACCCGGCCAGGCTGGGGGAGATACTTTCAACACCATCCCCATGAAGAGCAGGATAGAAGCAGGATTAGGCAGAGGCCTCAGCCAATCCCAAAGAATGCTCTGAGCCTGGGCTGACCTTTCAGAGTTATTCCAAATTAAAGAAGGGGGCCAGAAATTTATACTCTTGTATTGACCAGTGATAGATAGAAGCTATATCTGGAGAGGTGCTGTAACTTAGGAAGGCTGCTTCCTTCGGTGGAGGACAATTCCCAGAGAGGAATTATGAACCATGAGCAGTTTCCTCCCAGAAACTGGGGGAATGACTAGTTAGGTCCTGAGGGTGGATCTGAACCACAGTATTCATTATGTTGTTTGTATTGCAGCTCTGTTGTTTGGTGCATATCTGTTAGTTCCCAACAAGACTGTCTTCACTTCAGATGCCACCTGAACTTTGGGGGCCCCTGACCACCTGGAACTTCTGTCCACTGGCTACAAATTCTTGGGTTCCCACAACCCCTTGGGTTCAGTAATTTGCTAGGACAACTCACAGAGCTCAGGAAAGCACTGTATTTTCTATTTCAGTTTTATCATAAAGGATGCAGATTAGGACCAGTTAAGTGAAGAGACACACAGGTGGGGTCTGAGAGGGTTCTGAATGTAGAGTTTCCTGGACCTCTTCCAATAGAATCAGAGTGTTTCACCCTCCTGGCACATCGGCTATGTTCTCCAACCAGGATGTTCTACTGAACTTTGGTATCCAGAGTTTTTATTAGGGTTTCATCACATAGACATGATTGATCAGATCATTGGCCATATGATTGAAATCAATCTCTAGGCCTCCTCTCCTCCTTTCCCTGGAGATCAGGCTGGCTCAAAGCCCCAACCCTTTTATCTTGGGGTTGATCTTTCTGGTGACCAGTCCCCCTCCTGAGTCATCTCATATCTTAGCAGAAATTCATGTTTATGACCTAAATAGCACATGACCTTACTGGCACACAGTAAGTTCTTAGGGAATATTTGCAGAATGAATGAATGATTTGTTAAATAAATAACATGCTGGGTTAGGGTGTTATTCCATCGACCTATTCATCCACCTACCCACATTCAGCCAGCCAGCTATCCATCCATCCATCCATCCATCCATCCATCCATCCATCCATCCATCCAATGAATAGTTACTGCACTACCCCACCCCACAGTGTGTCCCAGAGATACAAAAATGAATTGGCACAAAAGTAGAGGAGATGTGTCCACAGATAATGGCAGTAGAGTATGACATGAGCTACACAGTAAAGAGACCCACTAACTGTATGCAGGCATACAATGATTCAACAACATTTATTTAATTTTGGACCTTATTGTCAATCAAAATTATTTTAAAATCTTGATTATAACAACATAATTAGTGACTTTGCTAGAATGAAGGAAAGAAAAAAATTTATGAAATAATTATTCATGAGTCTTGTATTTCTTTTTACTCATACAGGGTGGGGCAAAAGTAAGTTTAAAGTTGTTTGTATAAAAAATAATACAATAATTAATAATAATAATACAAGAATAAACTGTGTTTCACATACTTACAACTGTAAAGCTACTTTTGCCCCACCCTGTATATTACTGTCCATCAAAAGAATGCCATTAAATTCAGTAATCTTTGATATTTTGCTTACTTTCAATCATAAAAAATCCATAGCTTTTGAGCAAAAGAAGCCGGACACAAAAGAGTGCATATTGCATAATTCCATTTGTATGACATTCTGGAACAGGCAAAATTAACCTATCATATTAGAAATTAGATGGGTGGTTGCCTGGGGCAGAGGACAGGGGAAGTTGACTGCAAATAGACATAAGGAAACTTTTGGGGGTAATGGAAATATTCTATATTTGTAATTGGTTGGCGTGGTGATTATACAAGTATAAACATTTGTCAAAGCTCCTCAAACTATGCACTTAAAATGTATGCATTTCATTGTATGTAAAATATGCCTAAAAAAACTTAAGAAGACTTTATCTTTTACTAAATAACTGATTTAATTTGATGTATAACATAAATATTTAGACTTACAGTATGTGAGCCCCATTATTCTGGGCTGCAGGTATAATAACTCGGTTTCCAGCAAGAGTACCTGGGCATATGATGGTGCCATCCCTGAGGTGGGGAAAGCACAGGATGGTTAGGTTTGGTGGAGGCAGGGCTGATGTGCAGCTGGTGCATTTCAGGGCTGTATTACTGTCTGTGCCTGTTGGAAAAACCACTGCTGCCCTAAGTCCCTTTGCTGCCTCCTTACCCCCAGCTATGTGGACTTTCCCCTGGGATTCTCAGATCCTCTCACTCTCCAGCAACTAAAGAGTTAATACTTGGCACAGTGATGGGCCTTCAGGATGCTGATTCAAAACCCTGCGGACCTGTTTGTGCCTGTGCCTAAAATATTTTGAATATCACTGCTGGTAGGATTGGGCAAGAAAGCATGTCAGTCAGGGTTCATTTTGGGGAGTACAAAGTTAGAGATGACTATACGGCATCCAAGTGGAAATGTCAACATAATAGCACATATATGGCTCGAAGTTGAGAGGAGAGGTCTGGGCTGGAGATGGAGATGGAGATTGTTGTCTCCCCACTGCCCGCAGAATCAAGTCCAGATTCCCTCTGTTGGCAGTGCAGGCCTTTACCATCCAGCCCTCACCTGTCTTTTTAGTTCCATCTCCTGCCACCTCCCTGCGAGGACCTGTGCCACCTTGCTGCTTCCTGATCACTCTGTGTTGTAGCCATGCCATTCCCTCTGCCTGGAATGCCCTACCATGTCTTCTCCACTGGTCAGCCTCCTCCTCACCCTTCAGGACTCAGCTCACACGTCTCTTCTTCCCGAGGCCTCCTGCCTCATGTTCTGCCTCCCATGGCCCCACACACAGACAAGAGCACCCTGCCTTGTGCACCTCTGTGCAGATCCCTGCCTCCCACACTGGGCCATTAGCTCCTCCCAATCAGGAGGAGGTCTGGTGGCTCTCTGGGCCCAGCAGACACTCTGATATGGAACAATTTTCCAGTAAATACTGGAGGAATGGATGGTAATACCAAGTCCTAACTGCGTTACCGCAGCATCATCCTTACTCTATAGCCTCTCAAACTAAACTTGGTCTTCTTGAAAGAATAGGCTCTTTAAAGGCAAAGACCACTCCTTCCACATCACTTCTCGGTGTCTCACAGCCTGAGAAAGCACACAAATGCGAAGGGTAAGGGAGCCTGGTCAGACAGAATTGAATCTCAGCTGGACTGAGCTCAGTGATGTCTATGAGTGTTCAGTGGTTTCAAGGGGCTGGGAGGAGGGGAAGTGGGAAGTTATTAATGGGCACAGAGGTTCAATTTGGGATGATAAAGTTTTTGAGATGGATGGTAGTGATGGTTGTGCAACAATGTACATGTACTTAATGCCACTGAACTGTACACTTAAAAATGGGTAAAATGATAAATTTTATGTATATTTTACCGCAATAAAAATAAATACATAAATATCCTGAGTGAAGGAATCCAAACCCCTCTTCCCCACACAAAAAATGCCCTGTCCCAGGTACACAATGGATGATCCACATGTCTGAGTTTCCATTTTTTTTCCTTCTGGATTTCTCATTACCTGGGTTCCAGGGCGTTGGCCAAGAGGCAGGATGAGGGAGAACAGGATGGGTGTTGAGAAAGGAAGTGATTAAATGTTGAATGAGGATCTAGTGGTTGTGGGGTCAAAGCCAGGAGGGCCCGCTGGGAAGGCCAGGCATGAGGAGGTGGGCTGCCTTCCTGCCTGGAAGGAAGAAGGATGTCTGGGGTCAGGGATGACACTAGTGTTTTTGGCCATGGGAAAGAAGTGAGATATCTAAGTTAAGGAGGAAAGGCGGGTGAGAGTTGCAGGATGTCCATATTGGCCTATGTTGCAAAAATAAATGCTTCTGGAAGTAAATACATACGTAAATAAATAAGTACAGATTTTTTTTTTTTTTTTTAAGCCCTCAAATCCACCTTCCTGGCCCACTTTAACAAGAATGAGGATAGCATAATAAGCTGAGAG